GATAGACAGCTGTGTGGCTTAGGGTAAGTTACCACACTTCTCTGAGCCTCAGTTTTCTCAACTGAAAAATAGAGACTGGACTGAAGAATAAGTTTCATAATATAAACTTCTATGAGGTAAAATACTATTTGGGGAAACATTCACTTGGTATGGCCTTAGCAATATCCTCCCAAATAAATCAGTTGCACCTTAGTATCCTCCCCCCACCTACCTTGGGGACTTACTCCTGAGTAAGCTAACCATGTAGATATGCATATTAATTGAGTCCTGCAATGCAGATTTCTTCTTGGATCCAAGTTCATGCAAAAAAGGAAGAAAAGGACATTTGAGAGATCACTGAATAAGGTGATAATAAGGGCCATTTAATAAAATGTACAAAGCCCTTTTCTAAGCAGGAAGAGATGGGTCAGGATGGAAGTCAAGTGCAGCTGTCTGAGCCTTTGTCAGTGGTCTGATCTCACCAGAAAAACTGGAGTTAAAAAACAACAAACTTCCAGATTCAGCCATTTCAGATTAACACTGCCTTCCCTTGCCATTCCTCCCACCCCTTGTCCTTTCTTCCCCTTTCTCCCCAGCTCAGGCACCTGGTCACCCGGTGCATTTCCGTGGTTGAGATGTCAGCCGGCAGCCTTGGCGACAGGAGCCCTGGGAGGCAGCAGTTACCTCTCGGGTTTAGCATTACGTCATCCCTTCTAGACCCAAATTTATCTCGGCTGCACACAGACCTGCAGCTCTGAGCTGCTGCTTACTTGAGGAGAGCTTACGCATGAAGTTAGGCAAGGCTGACTCACTGAGAAGATGGAAGATTTTCTGGTGCTCTTCACGTTTCTGAGCTCTGTGGGGAAAGGTGGGGAGAAGGTTGCAGTCATTATTTTGGGGTGGGGGATAGAAAAGTGTGTAACTGTTATGTCTCTAATTTAGGAGCTTGGAGCTCACCCTCCCCTGCTCCCAACATTGATATTTGAAAATTCTCTGGGAGGCCGAGGTGAGTGGATTACCTGAGCCCGCGGGTTCGAGACCTGCCTGGGCAACTTGACGAGACCTCATCTCTACAATAAATCAAAAACTAGCCGGGCGTGGTAGCGTGTGCCTGTAGTTCCAGCTACTTGGAAGGCTGAGGTGGAAGGATCGCCGGTGCCCAGCAGGTCGAGGCTGTGGTGGCCGGGAGCGGCCACTGCACTCCAGTCTGGGCGACAGAGTGAGAGTCCAACTCAAAAAAAAAGAAAGAAAATTCCTATCCTTAAAGATAAATTGCAGAAAACACTACTGTATGTGGTGAGCACTTTACAGTTTCTGGGAAGTGCTCCACAGGTGTCACCAATATAGTGAATGAACTTGTAACTTTTTTTTTTTGGAGTCCCACTCTGTCACCCAGGTTGGAGTACAGTGGCACACTCACGGCAACCGCGGCCTCAACCTGCTGCGTTCAGATGATCCTTCCCCTCAGCCTTCCAAGTAGCTGGAACTACAGGTGAGCACTACCACACCTGGCGAATTTTTTTGATTTATTGTAGAGATGAGGTCTCGCCAAGTTGCCCAGGCGGGTCTCGAACCCGTGGGCTCAAGCAATCAGCTCACCTCGGCCTCCCAAAGTGCTGGGATGACAGGCTGAGCCACCGAGCCTGGCCCTAATTTTCTGATTTACTGTAGAGATGAGGTCTCACCAAGTTGCCCAGGCTGGTCTTGAACCCGTGGACTCAGGCAATCCTCTCTCCTTGACCTCCCAGAATGCTGGAATTATAGGCGTGAGCCACCGTGTCAGGCCTGGACTTCTAACTTAACCTCATAGCCCCTTCCCCTCTCTCCAGCTGTTCTATCTGCAGAAAAGACAGAATTCACTAGCCTCCATTGTATATGAATCTGCAATAAATCACTTGGAAATTCGCACTTAGTAAACTGCGGAAAGGACCCCTGAGAATTGAGAGCTTTGCTTCCTTCAGAAGGAAGTTTGTCCCTATCCAGGCTGTGATTGTTTTAAGCCTGGGAGTCTCTGGAGGAATTCTTCCATTTTCAAATGAGACTCCCCCAAGAGAGATACTTTAGGGGAAGGATAGAACCAGAGACTATGGGTAGGATTCCAGGTTATTTTGTCAGAAGGTTTCGGAAGCCTTGCTTTTCCTGTTTCCTTATCTGCATTTGTAGTACAAACTAGATTCATCTGGACAAAAGAAAGGCTGTGGCTGCATCTGGGTTACTCCAGGCTGAGACTGTTGGGATGCCTTGTCTCCCAAGGATACAGCCCTAACTAAGCTTTGAGCTGTGGGAGGCCCTTGTGGCCAATGTTCAAGCAAGGACTACAAGAGGCAGCCAGAGTAGGGAGAAGGAAGTGGCGCCTCAGTTGCCTTTAGAAAAAGCTGGAGATTTCTACACATTAAACCAGCCCTTAATACTGTCAGCTATCATCATCACTATCACTATTACTTCTCTTCTTCAGTATATGCAAATGGCCTTTTGGTGACCATTGCTCTACTTTTCATCTCCTCATCTCTCTCTTGGCCATAGCTCTAAAGGAAGAGCTGGTTAAATCACCCGGAGATCCACTATGGATGTCCAGGCACAAGTCCCAAGCATCAAGTATCTGCCTTCCCTTACTAACCTTGTTATGGCTCTATGACCTATGGAATTAAACCCATTTTAAATCCATGTATATTTTCAGTTTGTGCTGCTTTTCTTGATTGCATGTCACATGGGTTTACTTCATATTGAATAAAATAGACTTGTTTATGTCATAAAACTGCCTCTTTTAAGTTCCTGGGGTAGCCCTTGGCAGTTTGGAATCTAAAGCTTGAAGGGGTTCTGCAACCGGTGGAAACTAATTTTCAACCTAATAATTTATACCCTCAGCAAACAGATGTTCTGGATGAATAGTATTTTCTTTTAAATGACTCCATTCCACACTCACCCAACATGTCCCTTGTTGAGGGGTGGAGAGTGTTTGTTACCAACACCTAATAGGAAAGCCCAGATCTGAAATGACCTAGCCAGCAGCTGAAAAAGCACAGTCCCTTTTTCAAAGCTCTTACAAAAAAATATAAATTCTCCTATGTCTTGTGAACACCTCTCATTTTGGGTCTTTTTGCATTTGATGGAACATCCACTTAGTTCTTAAATGTGGTGCCAAGTGTAATATTTAAAAGGGCTGGCAGAATTTTGCAGTTTGTGACTTCACTGGAGATTTTGTTCACTTTACAAAAAAAAAAAAAAAAAAGTCCAAGGGAGAGGGTGTTAAAATGCAACGTGAAGTCCATAACATTTTTGAGAGAGTAAGATTTCCATCCCAAGATGGTATTTTCTGCAGTAGCCAATGGAATGACCACAGGGAGGGGGAAATTCTCTCCTTGCCTGAAGCTTCCTGTTATTTTGGATGTCAACCAGCAGGTTAAAATAATTAGGGTGGGAAAAAGTTATAGATATGCTTACACAGTTCCCAGCTTGCTCCTAGAACATTTATCAACTAAAATTCACTTGTCTTTCCTCTCTCTAAATCAGTTGTTTTTATTTGGGGGGATTTGGGACTCCAGGAGACACTTGGCAATGTCTGGAGGCATTTTTGTTTGTCACACCTGAGGGTGGTGGTGTGCTACTGGCATCTAGTGGGTAGAGGCTAGGGATGCTGCTGAACATCCTACAATGCACAGAACAGAGGCCCCCTGCTCCAAGAAGGAATTATCCAGCCCCAAATGTCAATAATGCCAAGGTCAGGGAACCGTGGTCTAGACTTTGAGGACTTGTAGGTGGAGGCTTTGGAAAGATTGGCAGTGAGAGCAGCCAGCGGCAGTCTTTTAATGTGGTCTCTGCTCTCGTTAGCTCCTACTTTCAGTTACCTCTACAGAAGAGAGCACGAGAGGGAACAATCATCACCATAGCTTGCATTTACTGCGTGCCTAGCAGATACTGAGCGCTGGAATTAAATCTTTACAATAAGCCCTAGTGAATATACAATTCTTGAGAGCAAGGTCCATGTCTGTTTCTCTCATTACTGTGCACATTAAGTCTAATACAGTTCCTGGCACATGGCAGACCTTCAAGGTCTTGGACAAATGTAGTAATTATATCCATTTTATACATGAAGAAAATGAGGCTTGAGCAGTCCAAGTAGCAGTCAGGATTTGAACTGAACCCTGTGTAACTCCAGCACCAAATCACTTACACACCGAATTATATCCTTTCCTTGCAGCAGAGAGATTTGTTCCAGCGTTTAATGGCTAGTGAGGGAGGAGAAAGTTTTAAAGATTAAGATAAACCACCTATCTATGTTGAAGCTGAGGTGAAAGAAGGACTTTATGGAAGCCTCTCAGATGAAATCATCCCTTTTTGAACAGCAATTTCGGCTTTTCAAGTGTCTGTGTGTGTGCAGTTCGTGCAGGTGTGTTTCTCATTTTGCAGATGAGAAAACTGAGGCACATAAGTTAAATAAGAAAGTGGTAGTAGACAGAGGACTGGAACCTGACACTGCGAATAAGGAATGCTTCAGCTCCTGGGCACCCGCAGGGAGTCACTGAGAAATGAACTCCCCCAAGATAAACTCACTGCTCGCAGAAATCCATCCTTTCCAGAAGCAAAGTCTTCCAGCCTGGAGACAGCAGAGGAAGCCCAGCGGCACTACATCTCCCGGCGGCCATTGCGGAATCCCTCAGGGCGCAGGCGCACTGAGGCGGCGTGCGGACTACGGCTCCCGGCGCGCAGTGGGCGGAGGTGGGACTACGTTTCCCAGGGGGGTGAGGAAAGGGGCGGGAGGGGGCGGGCCGCGTCGCTGCTCCCGCCCCTCCCCCGTGCTC